TATCATGCAGAAATATTGACTTTTCTAAAAGGGGTACTGCTCCTTTGAAAGGAGGGTGTTAGACATCTGGAAATGCACACTGCACTCCTTCAAAGGGCATGGTGCAACTTTTCAAGGAATACTTCATATTTTGTTTGGATATTGTCCCTGCAAAAACACACTGCATTGCCCCAAAGGAAGATTACTCTTATTCAGAAGGATATGTTTGTTTTGAATACTGCATTTGTTGGCAGGTATGGGGATGTTGTAATTATGTTGAAATCATCTAGCATATTAACCAGAAATTGTGTTTTGTTGAAGGGACACTGTAGTAGCATTTATCTAAGGTAGAGTGAACATCTGGACGCTTCTTCAAGCAATACATGCTCTCTAGTGGACATGAACACAGCTTTATCTGTAGCTTAAGCTTTCATGTGATTACAGTCTTGAAAAAAACAATAAACAAGTGCACTCCCACAGCGTCCTGCTCTCATGATTTTTCTATGATATTTCATTTATAGTTTATATTAGGAAAACCAATCAATAGGCTCGGCTGAAGTTAGTTCTGAAGTGAGTTTAGATATGTTTAGATGATTTAGATGTCTAGGGGGAGCAGAACCTAAAGGTCAAAATTAGGACACGGCGTTAGAATCATTACTGTAGCTTGGAGTAGAGGAGTTGACGAGCACCTAAAAAAGCTGTGGTGGGGGGGGGGGCATTGCGTTGCGGCACTGTATACATTTTGCAAATGATGCAAACGTGGGGATGCTAGAAATACTATTCACCATCACTCACCAACAATCATAGGGATAGAGGCCCGTTTAGTTTTCTTACTCTATTGGGCTAGACTTCTCGGGAGTCGGGGTTCGCCAGCGATACTGTAAGGAGGATATGATGACATGTCTTTGCGAGCTGTGCTTGATTGTGCAGCAAACAGGAACGGTGGTACCAACCCTACCAACGGTAAGTTAATACCTATGGATACCTAAGGGACAATCTGAATGGAAGGATGCAAGTCAATTAAGCGCCAGCCTGGCGGATTTAGCAGGGCGCTAGGATTTTGCTCACAATTACCATGTATGTCATGTACCCTATATATCCCTATATTCTGACAGGAGAGGGGCACACTACAAGTACCCAAACCCAATCAACATTGTCCTTTTCGTTGCCACGTGATCATGTTCAAGGGGTATATAATGAAATGCTCCTGAATGTTTGTGAGGATGACTTGGAGTAAAGTGCATGGGGACTTGTCAACCGTTGTTGGTCTTCAGTCCTGCTTGGGCAGCAGTCAAATATTTATGGAAGAAGGAGTGGCATGGATGCACCGTTTTCATTTGTTGGCTGCCGGTAACCACCATCGTATTTCACTAGTCCTTCATTTATGTGCGCATGTATATTTGTGATTTTATAAATGCACACACACACACATATATATGCATACCAAAAGCTCCTGGCAATATTTACATGTGTTGCATGTAGATGACGTACACAGTTGCATCCGTCACTCACCAACACAAATAAACAAATGGTTCATGTACCCTGGCAGCACTTGCGCATGAGGTGGCTGAATGCAGCGAACTTGCTTCGCAAGAGTGGCATTGGTCATAGCATCTCGTAGCGATGTTTCCTGCCGAGCCTTCATCCCAGTGTGCGCACGCTGGTTGCAGGAACCCTGAGGCCCTTGCCATGGAAACGCGACATGAAAGGATTAAAGTGATTAAACGATAGATATTAGCAAAATTTAGCAACGAATTTAGCAATGATATTGAATGTTATAATATCGAGGGCTATTTTTTTTCTGTTCGCGGCAGGTTTTGTTTTTTTTTGGGTTCCTGGTTCTATGCTTTCCTGTTTCTCTGATTTTCTGCTTTTCTTCTTCTCTGCTTTTCTGCTTCTTTGCTTACATTGCTTCTCTGTTTTTATGTTCTTTGCTTAGCAGCTTTTCCTGCTTCTCTGCTTTTTCTGCTTCTCTGCTTCTCTGCTTTTCCTGCTTCTCTGCTTTTGTATTTCTGTGCCTTTCTACTTCTATTCTATGTGTTTTTGCTGCTCTACTTCCTGCTCCTTTGCTTCTTTGCTTCCTGTCTTTACTGTCTCTTTGTTTTTCATGTTCTTTTGCTTTATTCTGTTCTGTTTGTATTGTATCCTAATGAAACCCTAGAGAGACCCTAGGTGAAACCCAAAGAAACCCTAAAGAAGTCCTGATAAGAACCCCTACATGAAGCCCCTAAATGAACCCTAAAGACACCATAAATGAACCCTAAAGAAACCATAAATGAACCCTGAAACCATAAATTAATCCTAAAGAAACCATAAATGAAACCCTAAAGAAACTTTAAATGACACCTTAAATGGGATCCCAAAGAAACCCTAAACAACACTCTGAAAAAAAGAACTAAATGAAACCTTAACTGACACCTTAGCTGAAACCCTAAATTGACACCCTAAAGAAACCCTAAATTGAAACCCTAAATGAAACCCGAAAGAAACTCTAAATGAAACCCTAAAGAAACCCTAAATGAAACCCTAAAGAAGCCCTAAAGAAACCCATTTGAACGTTTAGAACTCCTGACAAGAAATCCCGATAAGAGACCCTGCATGAAACTGGAAAAAAAACCTAAATGAAATTCTAAAGAAACCCTAACCCTAAAGAAACCCTAAATGAAACCCTAAAGAAGCCCTAACTGAGACCCTAAATAAAACCCCAAATGAAGCCCTAAATAAAACCCTTAATGAAGCCCTAAATGAAACCTTAAATGACACCCTAAATGAAAGCCTAAAGAACCCTCAAGAGACCCACATGAACCTTTGAAGTACCAAAATGTAGCAAATACCATGCAAACAAGAGGTTGAGATTCCAAAATCTGACAAATACCATGCAAAATGGCAGGCAAACATTGCCAAATGCAGCAAATACCATGCAAAATGCAAAGTGACCATGCCAAAATGTAGCAAATACCATGCAAAATGACAGGTTCTAGTTCCAAACTGTTGCAAATACAAGGGAAATGGTACCAGGGAAGAAAGCAAACAAAAATCCAAAACCTGAGGCAAAAAAATACAAAAAAAAACTATTCTACACCCTTATAATATTGTTGACTATTGAATGTTTTTTTGGAGGTGTTGATTTGCTGATTCTTCCCCCTTTGCTTTCGCACTTGGCAAGCCCCAGGTACCCGTTTGGTTCCCCAAATCAGGTTGGAGTTTGTATTTTTTGAATTTATAACAGGCGCCTTTTCTGTTTCCTTCTCGGCCTTCATTTCGAAAAAGACAGTTTAAAGATGTTTCAAGCAGCTGGCGACTATCAGACTCCAAAGTTACTTAGCCAAAGCTGGGCCGCCACCCCACCTTCTCCTGGCGAAATTGTAATGGAGACCCACAAAGTGAGTACATAACTTCTTGGGATTTCTTGGGTCAGTTTGTTAGATAATAGATATTAATAGATGATAATAATTACCATGCTCAGCTCAGCAGCCTTCAAGGTCTAGGTGAATTTATCCTGGCTTCCTGTGGGGACCTGCTTAGTTGCTGATCAGCGGAGCGGTGGAAAAGCTTGCCAGATCCGAAGAGTTGCAAGAATCAGGGTGGCTGGAGTGCGCTTTCAACGCTTCCCAAGTTTCCAGTGTTTCCATACCAAGAGATTTGAAGCTTGGGCAGCTTGGATGTGTTTTCACTAGTCCAAGTTGCCAGCTGCGGTGCATACGCACGAGGCTGATAGGCCCCAACAAGATCCAAGAAGCACACACGGGAGACATAGCATCCAATGTACTCCTCCTTGCAGGGCCTTCCATGTGCGATAGCAAACACCCAAGAGCACACGCGCTGAGGCAGACAAACAAACATCGTGCATGTGGCTTCTTGTCAAGTCACTGCATCAAAACTAAACACACGCACACATGACAATCGCACCTCACATGCTCACCCACTGACATAGACAGGCACAGCATGGCACAGCATTCCGGAATTCTTACCGCGTTTGCAGGGGCAAAGAGTTGTTTTCTAGCTGTTAGAGTTGTTAGAGTTGTTAGAGTTGTGCAATGAAGCTGCTGCCACCCTTTCAAAATTATGTGTTTGCCAGAGGTGGTGAAGCCGGCCAGCAGGTCTGTACCAGGGCCCCGTTCAATGGCATGATGGAATATGCTAACTTACGAATAGGCACAGACAGCCACGCGGCCTTGTCACAATGTGGCCGAAGTAAGCATCAATACTATCGCAGAAGTAGTTTTTTGGCTCCCATTTGAAACATGTGTTTTTGAACATTTCGGTTTCCAGCCTAGGCCTCTGGACACGCAGGTGCTCTTAATATGAATTTGATGCTGCAGCAACGCACAAGAAGCAAAGACACCGCAGCGGGAAAGGCAAGACCAGAGGCATCAGGCATGAACAGGTAGTGGGAAGTTGTGTTGCTGTAATTGAGGCTGAAAGTATCCGTAAGTCGAAAACTAGGCGGCTTCAGGTAGTGCGCGCAGGAATGATAGCTGCTGCAGGCCGGCACATTTACTGCATCTGATTAGGATTCATGGTTGGCCTTTAATTCAGGCTCAGTGTTAGTCAGTCCATGGCACGCTTGTCAAAAGCATCCCTCTGGCTTCACAACTGAAGTGCGTTTTGACAACCTGAAATAAGAGAAGGACCTGCAGTGGGTGAATGTGGTGTGCATCAAGCTACAAAAAAAGCTACATCTCAATATGAAATATAACATGTTGTAGCATGTTTGATCATGTTTGCTTGCTTTTGTGACCTGATTCTGTCATTTTGGCTCACAGCCAGCTTTCGTTGCTTGTTGAGCTTTACCTGTGGGGATTGCTGTAATAGGTCATTTGGATTCATTTGGTTCTCCAAGTCTTCCAGTTATTTATCTACTCGCTGTCAGTCATTGGCAACCAACAAGTAATTGATAAGTCTTGGCTTCGACATGCTTCGACATAAAGGACATCCCGACGGTCCCGACGGTCCCGACATCCCCATCTCTTGCAACAGCGCAGAAACCACCTCTGCGACGCCGTTGTGACACACTTTGAATGCGCCAGCCTGAGCTTTGCAAGTACACGCGGCACACCCCAGTGCTGGTGTGTAGATGTTTCTAGATGTTTCTAGATTTTTCTAGATTTTTCTAGATCATGTCATAATTAATTATATCATATTATTATATCATATATATAACTATATCATATAATTATGTATATATTTATATATATTAATATTATATTTTTTTTGCACTGGCAACTCTGGAAAAGGGATGAAAAGGGGACGTCCACCGAGGACTTGGTCAATGCTGCAGGCTGGGAACGATTTTGTCGTGTTGCAACTGTGCCTGGGAACCCCTTAGATGAAAGGCATCACTGCATCGTGCTTCAGTACGGGGGCGCTTCCAAGTCTCCCACATTCCGTGAGGCATTCATCTACTTCATCTTCCTCTACGCCACTCTGTCCGAGGAGCTTGTTTGAAGATGCCTAAAGATGCTCAAAGTTCAAAGACTTGAAGATCATATTCTAAGTCTATATAAGATAATTTGATGGCTACAAAATGTGGTTTTCTGAAAGAGTTTCAAGTACGGATGTCCTCATCGCAGGCAATCTCCGAAGACCAGAGTCGCACTGGACTCAGCATGAATTCGGTGGTTTCGTGTCGTTCTTGAACTATTTTGAGTCCAACCTCAGTTCGCCTCAGGTTCTCTATTTACATTTTGGATCATTTTGGTCCCATTTGTTCCCTGCGCTTTGCAAAGTATTTTTGGGACTTGTTAGGGCACTTTCTTATTTTACTTTGTTGCTAGAGTGCGGCTTGAGCTGTCCACCAACCTCCAAGCTAAGGTTTGCGACTCCTTCGGCAGGAAGCGGAGAATCAACGTTGCTGGGAAGAAAAGCAGAGACGATACAATCTCCTCATTGAGAAACGGGGAACAGCGAGTCAAGACCGCATGGGAGCAGTTTAGAAACGTCACGGAGTCACGAACATCAATTTGATTCCCTGTCTGCTCCTCTGCTTAGTGCCATGAGGGGTGGGAAGGTGGCTTAAGTGACTTGCACAAATAAAAAGATTAGAAAGACTTTGACACGGAAAGTTGTTTCGAAGCTTTTACTGATTTTCACTGTCAAGGAATGGCCACATGTGACCACCGTTTGGACAATGCATGTTTTCTAGTGCTAATACTCTGAGGCTCAAGTGGCTGGCGCGGTGTTGAAGTTCAAGGTTTGGTTGAAAGGGCGGAACGATACGGAACGCAGTGAAATGAAAAGTCGAGGCATCGAAGAGGCAAAATTTGACAATTCAGACAAATAATCAAATATGCAATCAAATCCAACGAGAATTCAGCGAAATGTCGTGATTGTGAACCAAAGTGGTTGCAGCATGTTGCAGCCATGCTTGGATTTTGAAGAATTTTGTCATATTATATATAAATTTTAATTTAACATATCATATAATTATTATGTCATATGATGTCGTTGACTGATGTTGACTGTGGTTCCACCTGGAAGTTTGTCCTGTTTCTTCGGATCGTTTGACTTTGCAAATGGGCCACGGCTCATTAGGGCTTGCATCGGGGCTGCGAGGAACTGGAGCCATTGCGCCCTTGGTCAGTTCCAGAGGCGCCCCGAATCTAGATGGTGAAACGGTGAAACCGACGTTTCCTTTACTGGTAATTATGATAATTACTGACAATTAGTAAAATTGGAGGTAGAGTAGAGATGAGTAGAGGAGATGGAGATAGGTAATAGAAGTAGGTTGTAGGCAGATAGATAGAGAAGATAGTGAGAGAGACACAAATCGAGATGGCATAGATGCATGCGCCCAGCTTCTACATATGACTTTCCTTTGAATACACCATAAAAGATTGTAAGAGAATGTAAGAGACACTTGTACAATAGGCTTGTACAATATGATCAATAGGTGTACCGGACACACACACACACACACTGCATGTTTAAATAAGAAAATCATGAGAACGTTGAGGTAGTCATCGCCTGGAATTCCTAGGTAAGGCAACCTGTCAGGAAAGGTCAAAGGAAATGTGTTACGTAGAGTTGGGGTCCTCGGCTTAGCCCCTTGCCATATCGAGTGAAAAAGAAATACATCGAAACTTGCAGGTACGCTGGGTTGATCAGACCCAGTATCCCATGATTGTGGTAGCTTCGTTGAGTGCGGTCCCACAATCTGCATCTAGACAATTAATGAACTGCATGTGACTAGCAATGTACACACACACGGGGCAACCCGAAAAAGTTAGGCACTGTTTTCTAGCGGCACCACTGTATCAAGTGATCTACGGAACGACACTTAGACAGCCATCGGAGAAAACTCTTTAAATCTTGGGAATTCTTGGTTGTAAACAGATCAGGAAGTCGAGAATACATCAAGCCTAACAAATCTTGGGTTTGGGCAATCTGTAATTCTCGCGGGCATACGCAACTACGAATAAGTCATAATAAGTCGCAGTCGAGCACATAAACCACTCAAAGGAGCTCGAGATGTGTTGGCACTCCGCATCGAACGTAGTGGTTTCACCCAGGGCAAAAGTAAAGTAACACATTGTTGACCAGCGTCCACATTGAAACCAAGTGCCTCCTGTCCTTCTACCACTTCCAACAAAATAGGAGAAGAATAAAATTGTAAATTCCAGAAAAATCCAGAAAACGCGTACATGTGTTTGGCATTGGCTATGTTGAGAAATCAGTAGAATGCGATTGTCCACATATCGATGATGCAACGAACGATCTCAAGTGAAGGGTGAAAAGCCACGGCTGAACAAAGTACAGGTGCAAACTGAGATCCCATACTGGCTCCCCGACATTGTCGAAATACTTGGCTCCCGACCGTAAAATAGGAATTATCCAGCAAGTATTGAACAATAGCAGTAGCAGGAATGTGTCTCAATGTAACAGACAAATATTGTTTTGATTTGTCTCTCCAACGACCTTGAAACACTGTGAGATAACGTTCCAACTTGTGAATGTGAGCCTGCAGGACAGTGTCTAAACCTTGTTCGGTTTTCTGTGCATACATGTACACGACATACTCAATGGCATCAAAAATTCTGGAATGTTGTACTTGATAATAACAACCAAGAATGTCTGTTTGATGCAAGCAATACGCAGACTCCGCGAAGGACTCCATAGTAAACAATCGACGAATCCCTTCAATAACAGCTCGTGCATCCGGAAGTTCCAAAATGGACCGAAAGACAGTGTTCAAAATTTCGATCAGAAGAGTAGAAATCGCACTGCCCAATTTCCTAGCCCATGCTGTTGAATAATCCACAATTGGTCGAGCTTCTGCAAAATCACGGGTAGGTTTAGGCAAAATGTATCCTTTTCTCAATGTCGACTTGCGAAAATTTAATCCCCAGGAGTAAGTTTGTTGAATCCACTGAGGCACTTGCAGCTCAAAATTGCGCAGAAAGGTTCCACTTCTCTGATAAGGTGACAGCAGTCTGAAATCGATGCCATTCTTGGGTCAAGAAATACTGCCAATATTGCATCAAACTGGACGCCAATTTCCATTGGTTTAAAACTTTTAGAAAGCCTGAGTATTGTGGGCCAAAAATGAGGACCGTGAAGGACAAAGTTCATCTTCCATGTGTGTAGCAAAAAATGGAACGTCAGAAATGTCCGAAGCAAAACAGGAAATGTGTTCAGTGGATCGTTTTTTCATCTGAATGGACATGGGAAATGCAGCACAAGTGCACCGAGGATGGCGATCTGGATGCCACAAATGTAAATATTTACGAAAATTGAAACAAATCTGGGCCAGTGTAAGACCTTTGATTGCAACAAACGGAGCTCGAACTTTGTGAAATGGTGGAAAAGTATGTTGATGATGAAAGGTAAAACCTAAAAGCCAAGACCGAATTGCTGAATTCATCTGATCATCCAAAAGAAAAAAGCGCATAGGAATATTTGGAGGAGGAGGAACTGTTCCACGAAATGTCAAAATGAGTTTCAACTGAGCTCTGGCACGACCTCGAAAAGGTTCTGTCATAGTTCGACACATGCGCCAAAGAAGATAACAATATGCTGTATCAGCGTGGGCGGAGCGAAGAATCCGAGAGCAATCAAATTTGGAGCGGGTATCCGATCCAAGATGTTTCGAAATATAGCGGTACCATGACTCAGGTAATTCGATCCTGTGTTACTATCGTATTCCTTACTAACGTCTTTCAAAACTTCATGTTTATGAAAACAGGGATGATGAAGAAAGTAAATCTGATGAAGAATGCTGTGGACTAATTTTCGTTCGTAAACAACATCTCATATAGTGTCATCATCCAGTTGGAAAAATGGTCTGCTGAAGGTCCCACAACGTACTTGTTTTACGAACTCATCGATGACATGACCACAGGAAAGGAAACAACAGAAGGTAGCCACAGGTAAATGTGCTGGCCTCGATTTTCTTAGGATGACATACTTTTGGAACGATGTTTGATTCAACTGTTGAAGAAGTTTTTACACCAAGGGATGTCATGGGGTCCACCAAAGGATGGAGGTGGGTGTTGTTTGAGTGAACAAATAGAATGGTAGCTGTTAGTTGCATCATTGGGGGATGATGGTTTTCTGGAAACACATGGGTTCAATTCATCTGTTAGCTTGGATCCTTTCTCGGTGTCACATTGTAGGGATGATCTCTTACTAAGTGTTCAACCGGTTCGTCACCCATGATGTCATTTTGGTTTGGTCAATGAACAGCATGTTCGCAGTCAGTTGCAACAGTACCTGAAGATGGTTGTGTGGTAATCATTGGGTCGGGCTGGGTTGGGAACTTTAACATGAAAAGAATCTGTATCGATGTGTCATTACGTGTATGAACCAACTGTTGACTTTGGATGTTTTTCTGGATGCCTCTCGGGTCGAAGTCATCATCTGTTGTTTTGCCATGATCAGTCACATGTTTATCTTCCGGATGTTTGCTTGCCATTTTCGTACTTGTCTTTTCTGACGGTACGAAGTACGAAGTCACGGACGCTGCTCTTTCTCTCCGCAAACACACGGTAAAAAAGGTTGAGTTGTGTGGTGTGCACCCAAGGGATCCTGCTAGAGCGATGTCTCACATTTTGAAGTTTTGTAATTTACACCACATCTGAAACCAAGGGTCTGTTCGCTCTGTGTCTTGTCTGTGTAAATGTTACCTGCTTGCTTGCTGTTGAACTGTCTAGATGGAAAGATGAAGAACTAGATAGCTGGATGGGTGAAATGTTTCGGTACATCAATGGATAGAATGGATAGCTGGATGGGCAGATAGACAGCTAGATAGATGGATGGACCACAAGACGACAGACAGATAGAGAGACAAGGAAACGGACAGATCTCGAAAGAGAGAAGAAGAGAAAGATAGACAGATGGACACATAGACAGAAATAGGATGATGCATGGACGGCTGCATAGACAGATAGAGAGCTAAGCAGGTGGATGGACAGAGAGATGGGTAGGTTGACAGACAGATAGATCAGTAGACAGATAGATCAGTAGACAGATAGATCAGTAGACAGACAAGAAGGATAGATAGATGGATGGATGGATGGATGGATAGACCGACGGATGATTCGACATTCCAACCATCTTTCGGTCCATCAGTGGATTCGCTCTGCCATCCGTGATTCACAACAACCAACAGCTCCTATAGGTTTCCTACTTTTGAGTATTTTTGAAACTTCCGCCACCGCCTTGATCCCTAAATAGGCACAAAAGGACACAAGAGGCATGCAGGAAGAGAGAGAGAGAGAGAAAGAGAGAGAGAGAGAGAGAGAAAGAGAGAGAGAGAGAGAGAGAGAGAAAGAGAGAGAGAGAGAGAGAGAAAAAGAGAGAGAGAGAGAGAGAGAAAAAAAGAGAGAGAGAGAGAGAAAAAGTGAGAGAGAGAGAGAGTGAGAGAGAGGGAGGGAGGGAGGGAGGGAGAAGGAGAGAGAAAACAAGAAACAATGCAAAAATGAAAGAAAGGTAAATAGATGGACAGGGGGAAAGAAACCTTAGAAAAACATTTGATGATATTTGATGTGATTACCTGGAAGTGCCATGCTGCGACACTGCAAAGCATGACGACTTCTATCCATTTTGTGAGCCGGAAGGTGTTAGTGAAATCCAACTCCATGACGTGAACGCCACTGTAGATGAAGGCATGGTAGATTTGTTCTGCATCGTTCGTTTCATGGCTGTTGAACACTTTGGTTGCTTTCAGAATGGTTTCCCGTCGAATTCATGTTCACTTTTTTGCGACCGTTTGTTTGCGACGTCAAGAGATGAAACTTTTAGTGAACAGGTTTATCAGAAGTTGCTTTGGCAGCCCGTTCTGGTTTCGACGCTGGAACCTTACACGTTCATATCGTTCCTGCGGACTTTTTATTCACATCACGATTAATTAAATCTGAAGGGGCCATTTGACTTGCAAGGTTCCTGAGTGCAGGAGGATTCTGCAGAAGGCGGCCTCTCTCGGATTGAATTCACGAGTGCAATGGCATGACGGCTGCAGTGCCACATTCTCTCTGCAAATCCGTTGAAACTACTGTCCCTGTCTATGTTTCTAAGGTTCGTTCCCTACTTGCAGCGCAGCAGAACCAAGTTCTCAACGAAGGCCGTGTGGGTGTGTGTGTGTATGCTGGCTGGTGGGAGTGTTTTTCCGTGCAACCCGAATTTAGAAATGTTCCCGAATTTGAATGATTCAATGTTAGGAAGTTATAGCAAATCAATTTTGCTGGCAAACTGACGTGCACTTCTGTGATAGTTCAGTTCAGCATAGTTCAGCTGCCATGCACGGATGAAGGGACGGGGGAATATGGGGAATGCTGCAGCTGTGCAAGTGTATATATATAATTATAATTGTTACTCCAAAGAAATCAAACAGTGTAGCCACACTCTACACAAGACTTAGCCTCACATGTGTGAACAGAACGATTTCAGTCCATTTCTTTCCGTGTCAAATTGCAGGCCTGTCTGTGACACAGAGATTCCATCTACCTGCAGCTTGCCACGAACAAGTTTCCAGATATATATATATATATATATCTCTTTTCATGCGGAGTGACTGGCATTGTACGAGGAAGAACGCATACAGAACACATCATAGATACTATTAAGGATTTTGATGTTTAGCTGGACAGATTGGACAGCTTTTGTCTTGCATCCTGGAGAAGAGGCGTGTCCACAGATGAGGTTGTGAACGACTCCCTCACCAAATTGGAGGATGGAAATGCAACAGAGGAGGCAGATTCCATTTTGCATTCTTTACCTTCTCTGTGACCTCAATATTCAAAAAAAAATGCCCCTTGAATCATAAGGCCCGGGGTATGAACCGTGGATGAGTATGGATGGAAGATATGGAAGGGCCGGGCCTGTTTTAGGGTTCGAACCCCGCTACTCTACTCAACTACATAGGGCTGTGGGGTGATCAACTTAGACGAACCCATGAAGAGCTGGAAAGGAATCCTTCGGGCGAGAGAGTCGCTATCAGTTTGGAAATTCATGAAATTGAATGAAATTGATGGGTTGAGTGTGGGTTGAGGGATTGAAGATGATTGAAGATAATTGAAGATTATTGAAATACGGAGGGGCTCCCAGTGGTGGGGGCCTTGGTACATCTGCTTGCTCAGCTGTGTTGATGTTTGACAGTCTCTGGATCTCATCGTGGCGGCTCTTGGGAACCTCACGCTGAAGAGTGCATTGCAGGCCCTGTTGATGCGAAGCTGTTGACATGTTGACCATGCACGGTTTGGCATTTAAGGTATTACAAACCAGTTCACTTCCAAACTATGCCAATTAATAAAGTAATTGTCCCCATGACTCATGATTTTGACATTCTGTCCGTGCACTACCTACAGCGATAATACATGTCTGTGTAGTGCAGGATTGTAAGGTGCGCCGTCTCTTTGCGTGATTCCAGTTGATTCTACATACCGGCGGAATCGAAAGCCGCAGCAAAAGAGGGCACAGGAACTTCTCAGAGGAAAGGGGCCCACGCGGTTCAACGCTTCTGTTTGTTGATGTTTGTTGTAATATGTTGTAATTAAGGTTTTTAGGATCTTTGGTGAATCTGCAGGCGTGAGATGTTTACGATGTTCCAAGATGTTCCAAGGTGGTGTGGGGGTTGCATGGTAGTGGCGATAGTGATGTCTGACGCGGTGTCCGAGCGGACACTGTCACTGTAAATGGTCTGATACCAATACCGGATGGTCAGTTTCCAAGAATTGGAGGCCAGGTTGCTTTGTCCCTCTTCACCAAAAACCAACCTTCAAACATCACAGCGATCGAACCTCTACAAATCGAGGGTTATTGTGTCACAGGCGTTTGGTAGGTGTCAACCTGATAAATACTGATAAATGTACATCAAATGTACATGTTCATGTTCGTATTTTGAGGTCTGAGGTCGGCAAGGTCCGATAGCTTGCTATGTTTGTGACAAAGCCTTGGTCAAGTCGTATCGTAGTTTCACCTTTCATACACGAGAGAGAGAGAGAAAGAGTAAGAACAATCGTTGCTGAGTTTTCCTGTCAGACTGGCAGCGTGTGGACGGCTTCAGATCAAAGTCAATTCTTCTACTCGTGCTTTCCTGGTTGGAGCCTCATTGTCGATGAACATTCCCCTTGAATGCAGTGGGGGTACTGCTGTTTGTGCTCTGCAGGTGTGCATGTATGTTGCATCAGCGCATCAGCCTTCAGAATTGTCTTGCATTGCCTTGCTTCATGTGCTGCCGTGTCCAGCTATTAAGGCCTCACGCCTGTCAAAGAACTGGAGGTCCACATTTGGCAAGTTGAGATGTGTTGAGAATTGGCGTTGAGAACAGGTGTTGAGAGTGTTTTGGTATTTATTTTGAGTCATGACCTGTCATGGAGTTAATTCATGTTACTGTAATTCATGTTATTTCAAGGAAACAGCCGTCCACCTGGCCATGCTTAGGAGCACAACTTCTTTGGGGACATCGAGACCCGGCCCTACGAGGCCAGGCCATGTGAGACCTGTACACCATTGTACACTGTACATCACTGTACACGGTACAGATCCGTACAGCAAAATGCAGCCAATTAAATTGCGAAAATTTTCAATACAGCCATTTAGTATCATTTAGTTCTGTTTTGCCTACCTTCGAATCAGCGACATCACATGACATCATAAATATTCATAAATGACATACTGTAAATGTCATTAAATTATAATATATATATATATATATTATGTCACTGTTTGTGTTTGCTGTTTGTGTATCACTCTATGTCGCTCCACGTCACCACAAGGACCCAACTGTTTCACTTTCCAATGACTCCCGCGCTTGTGGCTCAGTATGACTGCTATGACTCAGAATTCAATGCCCGCGACATCCCGCGACTGCATAAAAGCCCTTTGGAGCTATAACAGGAATCAAAGCCCTTCTCGGACTTCTCAGTCATTTGTTTCATTCTATTCAAGCAGTATCCAAGCAGTCTACGAATTCCAACCTAGGAAGAGCTGCACGAAGTCCGTTACTGCTTCAGACTGGGGACTGGTACCAGTGTCATTGCCCCAGCTGAAAGAGGGGGTTTGATTATGTTTGATTTTCATCGATTTTCTAAATTTTGTAATTACAGATTTTGACCGGCCATTACAGGTTGTTGCTTGTGCACCCTGAATCAGGACTGAAGAGACAGTTAACCAAACCATGGCAGCACTTGAGGCGAAGATAGCTTTTGTGGCTGCAACAAGGCACATAGAAGAGCAGGTGGGAAGAATCTGGGAAGAATGTGAAAACTCGAATGACAAATACATCGCCGTTGCCTGGAGGGTGTGGAAATTTTATGAAATTTTGGCACATGGCATTGAGTAACGCATCAAAACACGACACTAGTATACACTAGCTGAAGGATGGAAAGAGAGTCTTGGATGTTTTGGACAGGCGTGGGCAGGTGTCTTTTATTGCTTTCTCCTTATTTGAGTTTTCAGGTTCCGTGCCTTCGCTTCACATCAGTAAAGCCAAAGCAGACCCTGGACGGATGCACAGTTCCAGCTATCGAGGCATGACATGTTCGCGTTCCGCATGGTTTTCCTAAGTTTTCCGAGTTTTGCATTATGGTATATGGTCGTTTCATTTATAGATGGGACATGATAGGACATGATCAGACATGATGGGACGCGAGTGTTGCCCGAGTGTTGCCGTTTTTCTGCCTCGACAATGGGCAGGTCCGAGATGAAAATACCGGATGCTGGTCGGCGTATAAGAAGGCAAATTGCCATTGGAACTGGCGGAACAGTTAGAAAACACGAAGCTGACATGAGACACATGCAAATGCGATGCACCTGCCATCTGATGGCAGAAGTATTTAAATAAGTATGAATAAGTGAGATTGTAGCAGACCAAGTCCTTGAAGGATTCGGGCAACAAGAGCGCCAGTACCATTACGCTCCTCAACCTCGGACGAGGTCAGCGCCCCGCATTTATTTCAACATGTCATTGATCAAGACTCCTGTTTCTGAATGGCAACAAGGAAACATTATGTTACATTGATGATATTGATGTTACATGATGTCACGTTGTACCTATTTGTATCTCATATATCCTTATATATCCATATGATATATATATATATATATATAATTATTCATTCATTTATTTTTATATAATTATATATATATTCTGTATATATATATATATGTGTGTGTGTATCCTTCTATTTTCCCCCTGTGAAGCGTTGAGACGGGTGATCACAGGTGATCACGGGTGCAGCGCGTATCGGTTTTGGTGAGGCTGTGAGATGAAGGGCATGGTGATTCACCAGCTCTTTAAGGTCCTTGGTATCCGGAAAGAATCCAGCCGAATCGATCGCGATAAGTGCGCATGTAGCCGCATGCAGCTGTTTGTTCGATTTGACCGTCGTTCATTTAATTTGGACAATTGGTCAATGGCTGATAATGGCTGCAGGTACGTGAAGATAAATACGGAACATCTTCGACAGCCATGGATGAAGAAGTTCTTTGCAAAAAGGCGTTGATGCCATGTGCAGCCAAGAATATCAAAAGAAAAAACTACAATGCTGCAAAGAGCGTCTCAACTTCGCAAAACAAAAACAAGAAAAAAACAGTGCCTGACATATGGTGGATCATGGATGATCATGGTGGTTTTGGATATTTTTGGATGGTTTTGCTTGTGGTGTATATTCACTGTGAACTTCGCAGGGAAGCACCTCCCCCTTTGGAAGCCTACGAGAAGGATCCGTTTGACTTCTTGAGCATCAACATGTATCCTGCCCAGGCCAGCATGTTGAGGGGGAAAGCACGAGAATGGTTGAGATATGTTAAGATATGGTGAGAGACTGTATGTCGTAATATGTATTATATAATTTAGTGTGTTTACTCATCCAATGTTTCCCCTTTGGCTTTGGACATGTTTTGATGCACCTTGACGTTGTGAAACAAAAGGCCTTCACCAACGGCACTGGCAACTCCATGGAGCCTCTCCACGACCCTTTTCTAGACTCGGACTCAGAAATTTGGAAAATCTCAGCAAGATGTCAACTCTTAGCGAGATGTCGTATGACATCATGGGAAGAATATGGGAAGGTTTGGGACAGGGTTATGGCGGAGCCAGAGCAAAGATGAGCAAAGCTAAACGCAAAACTGTAGCAACAGCATAAAGATATATAAAGATCATAAAGGGGCATGAGCAAATTGAACAGAGCTCTAGCTTGGAATCCCTTGGGATCTGCGGCAGGCATGGACGTTTTGTGATTTGACGCTCTGAAAGTTGTGGCACAGTCACCACGTCCCCTCTGAAACCGCCACTTAGTCACTAACTGTTTCCATCATTTTCATTCATTTTCATTCATTTTCATATTCCATTTGTTTCCATCCTGATCCCAGGCCGGATTCCTGGGTCAACGACTTGGCTTATCCGAGCTGGATGTGGAAGCCTTGGGGGATTTGTTCACTCCTCAGCTTCAGAGGGCGGCTTTCTTCAAAGCCTACAGTACAACATACTACAACTATCACTATCTACAATCTACAACTCATGAACAGTTCTTCAATGTTCTTCACACCATTAAGGTATGGGTGTCCTCAAAGGATTGCCCCAAGCAGCCGCACACGGGTGTGGAGCTTTGCGCAAAGCGGGACACCATGTGAAACCACGTGAGACCGTTTGACATGAAGCGACGGTGAAAGCTTTGGAATCGATTTGAACATTTTGAAATGCAACATTTGGATACCTTTGTATATCGATCTTTGTATACATGTGGTCGATTTGCGTCATTTTTCCGCGCGTTGCTATGAGGTCCTGGCAGAACTTTTCTTGGATGGACGTGGGATGCACTATGATGGAACCTGTGACATGACTTGACAACTTGGACCAACGAGACCAGGAGATTAAGACACCAACCAATGATTCCTCAAAAATCCACAACTATTTGCCAAGTTGACTATCGGCAAATGAAGCGGAAGGTCTCAAAGGTTTGTTTGAGAAAGCTTAGACCTTTGGTGGGTCTTACAGAGAATTTGCTTGGAATTTGCACTGTGGTCATGGTCCTGGCGGTGGTTCAATTCTATGTAGATTATATAATGTATCGTGAGAGATATCAGTGAGGTAGAGATGAAGTATGATAAATGAACGACACTTGCGAAAACTGATTTTACTTGGGGTGCCAAAAATTAAAAGGACCCGTGTCGAGGACAGGAGGACAGGAGAAAATCAAGAGGGTCAACAAGATTCAATGATGAGTGGAAAAAATATGAAAAAATACTAAGGAAGCTCTCAGAGGCTCTTAGGATTTTTAGCGATTTGTCGGTCACAATATGGTCCAATATGGTCCAGCTTGTTCGCGCTTGGCATGCCTTTACCGGCACCCATGTCATTTAGATATCTAGAGTATCCTGGAGTGCTTGAGGCATTGACGACCCTGAAGCAGCAACCAACTTGACGCGAGAAGCTTGGACGGTGGAAGTGTTGCAACATGTAAAGATTAGCGGCTTTTTTTGAACTTAATTTGTTTCGTTTTCCGCGTTGCTATGTGGCTGTGGGCTGCTGTGTGTTCCCAGGCTTCTCCTGCATGAGGAGTATCACAGTTGTGGCATGCTGAGACTAGATTCATGCCATTTTGTGTCCAAATGATCCCGAAATCCCAAATGTTCATTTCGTGCAAACATTGCAAACATCATGTTTGAAAGAAGTTGGAGGTGCAGCGTTTTCCACCAGCACAAGCTGCAGCCCTTTGTACCCTACAGCCAGTACTTCTTCATTGGTGGAATTTGACTAAAAAATCCAGTGTGGAGGTGCCGGGATCTCAAGCCATTGTGCAGATCCACGAGTTGCAAAGACGCGCGGTCCCAAGATTGCACAGTCTCTATTGACTCTATTGGCGTCTTCATTGTGATTCATGGCTCTCGCATGTGTTTTCTTGTGGTTTCTGTCTCGGTTTGGTTCCAGAGGAGTGAGAAGCGGTGAGAAGGTTTCTGCATATACGGAGAGAAACTCAGGTGCTCCTTCTCTTGCCTACACTGCGTCCCTGCAGATGCAGAAGTTGTGGCGCAGCGGAACCTCCTGGTCGAAAAGGCGAGGCTCTTAGCCCGGAATTCTATGGAATTCTGCCAAGCCCAGCAGCCTACGGAGTGAATGGGTTTTGTTCTTTGCCCAGCCAGGAGGGAATGAGATATTGCGACGATGCAAACTGTCGGACAATTAGCGAGGAGGCCAGCTAAACCTCATTCAGGGTGTATCACACCTGCACACGCACACATTTTGTTCTACAATCTGCACAAAAATGGGTTTCTCATGGTCTCTCTCTCTCTCTCTCTCTCTTTAATATAATATATATATATGATCCCGGTCCCCGGTCCCGTAGCCCCCCCCACGGTATGGTCCCCTACTCCCTGACCTAGAATCTTTCATTTCCATGGTATTTACAGCATTTTGGATGCAAAACCTATCAAAACCTCATATTTCAGTGGTATTTGCACCAGTTTGGATGGTATCACCTACTTATATATATATAGGAACTAAAAAGTATAGTTATATTACCTCTTGACTACCCATACTACCAACAGGACCCACCCACCTCCCACATCCACAGGGTGGAGGGGGGAACCATGACCATGGGGGGGGAGACTATATACACCCAACTCCCAAGGGGGGGAACCATGACCGTGGGGGGGAGACTACCTACAGGACCCACCCAACTCCCACATCCACTGGGGGGAGGGGGGAACCATGACCATCGGGGGGGAGGGGGGGGTCGCCGAACCTGGAACATATATATATATATATATTATCGAAGGAAGTTTAGAAGTCAAACTTCCGACAATATGGACAGATGAAAAGCAGAGTAGGGGAGAGGCAGAGAGAAGAGGAAGATTAGAAGAGAGAAGATGAGAAGAGAAAGAGTCAGAAGAAAGAAGATACAGATGCGCAAAAAGGTAGGAAAGTCGCGAAACACTGTGTTTTTCCAATGATTTGTGGCTCAGGAGGGTCGAAAAGTAGGCTCGCTAAAGCAGCGGGTGCGGAGCCAGCAGATCACAGGAGCGATGAAAAATTGCACGCCGTTGTGGCGCGAAGCACATTTCCAAGTCAAAAGGTACAAAACACCTCAGCGTCGGACGACTTTTGGAAGTTGCGATGTCGAAAAAGTGCACGCCGTTGTGGCGCGAAGCACATTTCCAAGTCAAAATGATTCAAAATGTACAAAACACCTCAGCGTCGGACGACTTTTGGAAGTTGCGATATCGAAAAAGTGCACGCCGTTGTGGCGCGAAGCACATTTCCAAGTCAAAATGTACAAAACACCTCAGCTTCGGACCACTTTTGGAAGTTGAGATGTCGAAAAAGTGCACGCCGTTGTGGCGCGAAGCACATTTCCAAGTCAAAAGTGTTAAAAACTGGCGGTCTCGGACCACTTTTGGAGGTTCAGATGTCGAAAAGTGTCGAAAAAGTGCACGCCGTTGTGGCGCGAAGCACATTTCGAAGTCAAAAGTGTAAAAAAAACTGAGGGTTTTGAGCCTTTTTTGACGTGAAGATGTCGAAAAAGTCGGCACTGATTAACTTAACTAACTTCACTAACTTAACTACCTTAACTTCGACGACAACAGCCAACAACACACAACAACACACAACAACACACAACAACACACAACAACACACAACAACACACAACAACACACAACAACACACAACAACACACAACAACACACAACAACACACAACAACACACAACAACACACAACAACACACAACAACAACAACAACAACAACTAACAACTAACAACTAACAACTAACAACTAACAACAAACAACAAACAACAACAACAACTA